GATGTTTTAATTTGTTTGTCCTAAATTTATCCCACGAATAGTGGCATTTTATGTGGCTGCTTGTGAATACATTGCTCTACATCGCATGATTGAGTTCAGTAACCTCCCATTACATATGCTGTCTCAACTATGAAGAGATTAACACCTGTTCTAGCATCCACACTATGGCAGGCATCTTCTATCGTTACCACTACTATTATTGATGCAGGACATCTTTATCCTGAATCATCACGTTTCGCACTACTCTCCCGGAGGTACTTATCGATGGTATTACTCTAAATGAAGTCTAACCTATTATGTCAAGAGATAGTGCCTCTACGGCACCGCTAGATCTTTTCTTTCACGGAAAAATATATGTATCTGCATGTATGGTGGAACAACATGATGGAATGTGCTATTCGAAACTCCGAAAGAATCGCCCACCATGAAAACTATCCATTTACGCAAACTTCCCAAACCATAGCATCACTTGCTTTCGAAATCTTATTATGGCCGTAACATAAAGAAACGATACTCCAAAAGGATACACGAAACGGTGGCAACGTTTTCCACTGAGAGGCAAAACAGAAAATGGTATACCACATTACATTTCAGACTCACTTTTATGCGTTTTAGAATACGAGTAGTCTAAATGTAATCCTATTCTCTTAGGAAATTTACACATGGGGCAGAATAGAACAGATTCCTGTAATAATCCTTGTACACTTACATATAGAATTTCTCCAAAAATATAGAACAGAAATGGGTGAATGGATCCTGAAATATCTTCTTGAACAAGTCCTGCATGCATCTATGACACATGATAGTGCCACGTGTTAAAATACATGAGGTAAAGAGTTTATCGGTGCAAATAGCCTCAACAGTCATGTTTGTATATATAAGAGCATTTGCTGCGGCGTTGTGAGAGCGCACAGACGAATACACTTCCCAGGGTTTCAAAGATGAAACTAAGTCCCTCAGTTTCCATAAGGAATCGAAATGGGAACGAGAAGACTGCACACAAAATGATCTATTAAGATCACACTCATGAAAGGCGGCACAATATATTCCTCTCATACAATTTTAAACAAATAAAGGAAAAAAACGCGTCCCGAAAGAACACATGCGTATGCGATAATAAACACAAGGAGGTGTCTCTGTTACTCTGAAGCGGCATTACTGAAAGGATACATCGCAATAATTAATAGAATATACGACGAGTAGCACATAAGCGTCAGGGCTGTACAGAACAAAACATTACATTGATACTCAGGAATTCCCTGCCTTTACAAAAAAGGGGAGCTGCAAAAGACGTGTGTATGATCTCACTCGTTATCTCTTCTCCTGAATCCAGATAATATGCTGATTTATAACACATTGGGGGCTACTGGGAAAAACACGTACAAAAATGTGCAAACACAGAGCATGTACAGATGTTTAAAACACATGACACATGTATATAACCCCCTGAGCTAATCCAAGACAGGAGAGGAAGTAAGGGGTACGCATCCCACAAACCTAAATGTCTCATACAAGAAGGGATAGACAACGACTTGAACCTGAACGATGGACACGGTGATAATAGAGTAGTGGAAAAACACACCATGGAGAGATATGACCTGGATACATTTATGTCACGCCGGAACTGTGTTCATACGAACTTCTTACACGGTAACAATAAAGAGAGTTGTCTAAATGCAGAATATATAAAAAGTGCCGGGAACTATTCCGCAGGGTATTAAGAGAACACATACTTTTCCTACTAAGGAAACGATTGATGTCCACTGTTCGACAACTTAAGAGTACAATCAAAGGAATCTGAGATCCATAATAGGATGGGAGAGACACATCTAATATAAGTCATACATTTTGTCCGATCATCCGATTAATATGTAGAAGCAGAAATACTATGTCATCTATTATTCTACGTCCATATTCACCTCAAATAGCAGAAGACGACATTTAGGTAGCATAGAGGTGGTAACGAATGATAAGGTGCAGAATGTAGAAATTGTAATTCGTAATGAAGCTTCTAGAAAGTGACTGAGAGTCCTGCACTTATTTGTCCTTCTAATTACCCAGCAATGTGTTAAGGACGAAGCACTGAAGCCTGACGCGAAAAAAAATGACTGCGCAATTCCTTTCGTTTATTATAACTATGAGATATGTGATGCTCCTCCACCCTGTAAGCAGTAAATCAACTCTTTTGTTCTATAGAACAGAGAGAAAAAATAAAATTACAGGGACCAGTCCCGTTTAGCCCGGTACAGTTGCAACAATTGGAGCGGAAACTATAGAAGCCGCACTAGAAATCGCAGGCTGTTCAGACGTCCGCAATAGGGAATAATAAGTTGAGGATTAGGAGCGGGAAAAAGAAAAAGGACAAAAATATCTGAAGCATATCATTTGAGAACAACTATTGCTTCCCCAGTTATATAACAGTTCAATCCTGTGGGACACATTCCCTATAAATCCCTATATTATGCATTTACAAGCCTATAGGAGAATTATGCCGTCCCGTGAAGATAAATATTTTTCCAACGCGCGGAAATTCACGTATCCCCTCATGTAGCAATGAAGGGCATTGTAAATAGGATGAGGAACAAAGAAAAAAAAGAACTGCTGGGTTATTCGGTTCGAATATTCTCTTTATTACATGCTAGAAGAGCGAGTACATTCAGCGATGAGATCCGTCTCCTGAGAGGCCATCATTTCCTACATCTCACGACAATATACAAATATGCGGCAGAGCACAACCGGTTGTGTCCATATTCTTAAGCAGTTTTAGCACTGTATATTTTTCATGGTAATCCTTATATTACATAGGGATGCTATCAAAAACAAGGAGACTTCTTTTCCAATTTCTTTCATCATCCCTTCCCATTCTAAGGGTAAGGTCATACTCATGTTGAAATGTAAATTTCCCCGTTCCGTCATATTCCTCTCATGGATGCATTGTTCCTGAATGTGCCCTCGTGTTCCCCTGATCCCAAAGTAGGAATATTTTAAATATTTCGCCTTTACTCACCCCTCTTATATGCTTTTTCTATAGGAATACCAGGTACAGTTGATGAAGAATAGGACGTATTCATGGTTTATTAAAAGAATCTCTCACATTGGCCCCAATAAAAACACTTCTTACCTATATATACATATTTATATTATTGAATCTGACGTCGCCCTGTTGTCATTTTTCCCTTCCCTTCTTTCTTTCCTTTTTCTGTAATCTCCCATTAACTGAACGTTCGTAATCCTACTCCTCCTAATTATATTTTAAGACTGCATACTCTTTGATACCTCTGTTATTCCCTTGGGTTCCTTGAAGATTCTCCCTTTGGGTGTGCCTAAAAAGAACAAGTTCTGTGTTGACTCCGACGAAATAAACCAGAATAACCAGATTCCGCAACCTAATCGTTCTTTGTTTCTGTTCCACCTCTCTCCATTAGGCATTCTGTATGAGCCACGCTTGTCAACATAATTTCAGTGTCAAGGTGTGCTAATCTGTCTCTACTCTACAGAGAACGAAGAATTGAGGAATCACTCTTCCATCATTCACTCCTAAAAAGGGTAGATCACGACAGTGATGTAATTGCTCCACCCTGTGAAGTATCTTTTGTTTCAGACAACTTTCTCTTTCTCCTATGTGAACGTATAGCCCATGTGGAACACAAATTGAACTCCTGAATTTTTCAGCAATCATTAAGAAAATTTCTTCAGGGCCTCATGAACATTGGGACCACGCCTTGCAGTAGGTACCCCCTGGAACAAATATCTCCTGCGCAAGAACACCGGCTGCTTTACTTTTTAAGAAGGTTAGGACACTGTTACAGCATCCGCATCCAGAAGGCATTTGCTGTCGTTATGACTTGTTATTCTTCTACTCTATATTTGATGTCGCCTGTACGATCATGAAGACAAGTACTTGCGTGCAGTATTAATAGATTAATCATACTTCTTCGTCCGCTGAAGGTGCCGCTGTCATAGGCAGCCCCTGTTTGGTGATGACGCTGTACTAAAAGGGAGGGTTTGTAAAGGGAGGTAAAAGGAATCTCATGAAGCCCGCAAACTCACAGAGTTGATCTCAGTTATTGAAATACATGGAGCGCGTCAAGAAGTCCCACAGGAAAAAATCCCTCATGGAAGAAAAAGATATTAATGGTCCTGTTCCTTTTTTTCTCTAGAAAACCTGGTGCACAATTCATTTCGCACATTCTCCGCAATAGGATTGATCAGGTGCAACCTACTAAACAAGAGTAGGAACACCGAATCGTAATTAGCATTCAGAAGTAACAGTTTGACACTGCTCCTGTTGCCCCCCCATGAGCTCCGCTTCTACACATTTGGGACGCCTTCAATTTGCATCACCTAATAATGTCTCTATATCATCCTCTGTAACATCCCACGTTTGGTGACAATGTAGAAAGTCAGAAATCTGCACATGTGCCATGGCACTCAACGCTAAATCCTTCTGACGTCCTATCATCCTTCCGTAAAATGTGAATTGCGAAGCATAAGGAAAAAGGAGCCCAACAGTACAAGCGTCACTTCTACACTATTACTACTTCCCACTCTCTTCAAATAGACTTTTTCCCGTTTTCACATTTCCCATGTCAATGAAAGAGCTAAGGTGTCAGGAACGTGACCCCCAACGCACATTTTGAAAGAACGAATTCGTCAATCGGAAAATTATTTTTCGAATTCATACAGACAGGAGCTTAAAATTAGCGACAACAAGAAGATAGCACACAATAAAATGATGGACACTAGTCAACACCCAAAAAGAAGGAACAGAACAAAGACAGCACTGAGGAGGTCACTACCGAGGTGAACACACATTCGTATTATTATAGATACCCCTGTGTTAGTAACCACTGGATGCATATATGTTCAAAAAGGAAACATGTGCATATCCTTTCGCATAGAGAAACAGTTCGTATGCTCAGCATCACATATCTCTTGCTTACCACATATGCACTGCTGCCTTCGAACGTACTGCCCCCGATGGACACAGCGCCCATTTCTTAAAACAGACCCATAATCCAACCCACGATTTTCTTCGAGACCTTCTGATTCCCCAGATACCAAATGATGGTATGCTCCATATCCGCCTGTGTCCGCATCTCTTTATTCTTTATGTGGAGTCCGTTGTAGAACTTTAGCGATACGCAGCAGTAGCACAAAATGTCCCTGTTAAAAGAAATAATGAACACGGGAATATCTTTAGGTACGGCTTTTATATCATTGTCTAACTTGTCCATTGCTCTCAGAGGGCCATAACCATATGTACACGTGATTAGTTCTTTAGATCGGATTCCATCAGCAGGAAAGAGCATTAAATATATGGATACTTTTTATACGTAGACTTCGAAATGAGACTCACTGTTGGAAACCAATGAGCAATAAGCTCTGAAAACGGAACAGAGCCCGGATGAAATAGAAAAAGATTGCTTAATGGTAGCTTCTCAACAATTATCATGGGAACCATGGAGATGACCCCGCCTATGTCTAGTCCTGTATTTCCTATTTTCAACTTCCTCAGTATGGGTAGCATCTTTAAAGCCATACTTGCTCCAGAAAGCTCAGCTCATTGCGTAGGTGGGAACGGGCTTCATCCTGCATATTTTGTCATCCGGCGATGGAAAACTTCGACCGCTCTGTATCATCATCTTCATAAGCATTTAAGCTATACGGAATGTTCCTAATATACTGTATTGCATCATAAGCGAAATCCTCATCTTCTTTTAAATTATAGCTGAGCTTGTCAAAGCTCTCTACTAGACCGTGGCTTTGTAAAGTTCATCCAAAAGTGGAATACCCCGGCTGATTAACATGTTGTACCGAGCTATCTTCATAAAGGTAGTAATTATTTTCGTCCCTCATTATAACCTTACGATCGCTGACTACCCCTAGATTGGGTCTTAAAAAATTCCCTTTCGAGTGAGATTAGATTCTATGAATGAGTATTATAACGGCTATGGCGCTTTTTAACAACGATCGGTATCATCTGAAAAATAACAGATATTCATTAAAACATTAATTATGGTTTGGTGCGCCCTCAGGCCGAGGTTCCCTCAAGCCTACTTCTTCATCGCGCGATTCCTTTTCAAACAGTATGTGAGGAAAAAGAGAAAGAAATAAGACTATTTGACATTAAAAACAAAGGAAGCATACTAAGAACTATGAAATAACACCTCTTGCTCTGCGCAGAGTCAATTCAGGGAAGCATCACTTAAGAATGGGCTCCTCTGCAAAGGCGTTTTAAGAACAGAATTACAAAATTAACCATGTCATTCGTGTAAGAAAGAAAAAGATTATGACGACAAATTGACACACTAGACAAGAGGAAACAGAAAAAAAGAAAATTCACTTCATCATAAAATGAAGAAACAGACGAAATATTAACAACCATGAACGAAAAATGAAAGAAATTCGAACTAGTATAACGTCTAAGGAGCTCCTGGAAAGGTGTGTAAACATATACTTCATACAATAATCATACCTAGAAAAAAAAGGGGGTCCCTTCTTCCTCGAATGGCAGCTACAACCAGAATTGCGCTGCCATCCGCTTATATTCTCAGTAATCGCCCAATATTTGCCGTTTGATCAAGGGTAAAAATGGAGTACCCATCTTATTATCTCAGTCCTTTTGAAATTTCTCCACAATATTTCCTTTACTTGAATAACTTCACTGATCACTTCTTTACATATCGAATCTTTATTCCGTTCGCTTTCACTGTTACTAGGTTTTCGAATAGAGATTAACACAACTACGTACGGGGATGAGGGACCAACGCATCATATACGTTGCTTTGCCTCTACTGTCGCAGGATGGCATAGCTGTATTGACTCTTATAGTATTATCTAGTTCATAAAGTAAAAAAGGGTTCCTCCCCAGAGGAATCCACATATTAAAAATAAAAAGTTCTGACATTTATGCAAGAGGGAACCTCGTGCTGATATGTTTAGGGTTGTGTCAATGTTCATATGTATAATATGAATAGACATCCTGTTCTCATAATGATAGAGGGGCCTGTTTACGAATTGACATAAATGATGCAGGCTCCACATTGAATTAAGTTTAACAAGTAATTGTTTAATGGTACAGATCCATTATTTCTCTTTTGTTCGTAATTGTTAATTTATATAATAGAGCTCGAACTAAGGCGTTATGTTAACGAGAATTCGCAGACATGTCCACACGCGTGGGTGACACATCCCTTAAAAGCGACGTTCTCGAATACATATATGTTGTAGCGCTTACAGAACCCAGGGGGGAAAAAGTATTTTTTCTTTTTTCGTTTTTTTGGTAACACATGGAATGAGAATCCTCTTTTGCTGCCGATGTGAAAAAATAAAATTGCTTCAACACATTGCGGGGGATGTATATAACGATGGAATGGAAAGCGGAAAATTGGTTTGTATGTATATGTGCGTCCATTTTGTGTGCCCATATGTATGAATTTATGTATACCGATTTATATGTCCATTCATTTGTGCAGTTATTTGCGTATTTAGTGTGCCCTCGTTTGACATGTTATTCCCCACGTGGTTTTTTTCCTCCATGTGGTTTTTCTCCCCCCCTATGGTTGATCACACAAAACAGTTCGAAATAGCTCCCTAATTATTTTTTTAAAAAATAAACTTGAACAGCGTTCGTCGTGACATATATCTGAGCCAAAAAAAAAGGCGACTGGGGGAGATGTTTCCCGCGGGAAAACACGAAGAAGGGGAAAAATCGAATGGGGAAGCTATAGCGTTTAAGAGAAACCATAAGTTACACAAATTGGGTGCAAGGACGAATACAAAGAGAACTTTAAATTGCGTAAGCAGGACGTCGCTACTTTCCCACCTGCGAATCTCTGTGCCAACACAACATCGCAATGGAAGCTTTCCGAAATTAAAATGGGTCCAGGGCAAAAATAACATGTGTGGCGCAGCTCGCGGTGAGAGATATCTGCACCCCAGGGCAAGTAAAGTCGAGCGCGCTACCCGAGATTTCGTACACAGCCGAGAATTCTGTTCATCTCGCCATTTATCACCTTTATCGTAATATTTTTTGAGTCAAGAAATTTAGTCCGATGGTGTGTGCATGCAGTTTCAACTCATCAGGTGTTTTTCCTTTTTTTTTTTCTTTTTTAAGCACTGGCTAAAGGGCACACATAGAAGACAATTGTCTTTCGCTGTACTGCATTACGTACTTTTTCCGCAGCAGTTATATTTTTTTTTTTTTTTCCCTTAACCGTGAAAGTATTTATTCTCTAAAAGAAAAATATGTGCGCAGGAAATTGTTAAGAAAAGAATTAATGCTTAATATATCGTTGAGAAAAGTCACATAAATGTAGAGAGGCACACATGGGGGAGAAGAAACAAAAAAAAGGAAAAAAAAAAAAGCGGGAAAAAAAGAAAATATGAAAAATAAGAGACTTTCGAAAAATAAAGAAAAAAAGTAACATTAAATAGAATACGTAAAATAAACACATCCGTTACGCCGCTGCAGCCCTTCCAGAGTTCAAAGCAGAATAACAAGGGGAATCCTCCCTTCTCCTATTTGTTTTGTTATCCCTGCCCTCGATAAGAGCATATAGATACGTGCTTATCTACACGTATATATCCACAAGGACGTACCCACGAGAGCCGCTGCTCCACATGGATATGTGTGTGAGCCCCTTCTTCCGTGCCTCAAGAGAACCCACTGCTAAGCAAACCGCACATCCAAAATTGCCTTCCCCAAAATGAACAAGGCGTCGGATAATAATAAAAATTTGGAGGATCAGAGGTTACCAACGAATGAGAGAATCGTACTTGTGGAATGTGGCACTACACAGTGGCACATCTGCCTACGACACGATTACAGGAACACCTTCCTCGGCTGACTCCTGGCAACCGCTCAAATTACAGGAGGGAAGAGCGTTCTACAGCAATTCATAGACACGCCCGATTAATGTGAACATAAAAAAGAAAGGAAAGGAAATTCCTCGTTCCTTTCCCGAAACCAGTTCCGCCTTTTCCTTCCCCTTAGAACAAACTTCGATGAGAAGGATAAAAAAAAATTGTTCTTGTATGGTTACGAACAGCAACTGCTTTATGGTACACACGACGATGGCAAAAAAAAAAAAAGAAAAGAAAAAAAAGTTTGACAAATGGAAAAATCAAAAAAAAAAAAGAAAAAAATCACGTCAATTTTGACAAATGCAACAATATTTTTTCTTCCTACATTCAGCCACATGAGCATGCCTTCACATGTGTGTATTCCTCGCGTACGCATACGTAGCGACGCGGGCAGAAACACACACGTTAACTTCTCCTTCCCCAAAAAAAAAACCCAACTCAGGACGAATTAATTGGAAACTGGCCGAAAAAAAGAAAATAACTAAATACCCCATAAACACGATGAAAAATTTGTGGAACCACAGCATAGCTAACTGGTCTCTTTTTTTTTCCTTCTTCTTATTATTTTTTAATTTTTTAAATGAGCATTAGTCTAGCGAACAGCAGCATATGTATAGGCATAGCCGTTTATACCCCTGCGTATACCAAGCCGTTTGAGGGAGCGTGCATATTTTTATGTAACCACTTTTTTGCGCACTTAAAAAAAAAAAAAACGCACAAAATATCGAACGTGCAAATAAGGGAACAACACAAATATAGCATCAATAGATATGTGGACAAAGGGAAAACAACTGTGCTGAAAAGTGCGATGAGGAGTGCCGCCGCGTTTTGTGAAATTTTCACTTAGAACAATTTTAGCACTGTAGCAGTCCTAGCTATTTAGGCACAGAAATGGGCTTGTTCACAGACACGGCAATATGTAGCAAAATTTACGCGGTGGCAGGGTTATAGGCCTACTTGTGTTTTGCATTTTTTTATAGTTTTTTGGAGTTTTTTGCAATTTTCTGCTTTTGTTGCGATTTCTTGGCCATTTTTTTTTTTTTTGAAAACTTTTGTCATTCTTTCCACTCTCTGCACGACTTTCCATTTCCCTATTTTCCTTTTTTTTTTTTTTTTTTGCGCCCTTCCCCCTTAGCTTGCCCCAGTTTATAGAGAACTACTCCAAAGACGTGGAAAGGCTGAACGAAATGAAAAAGAAAAAAAAACTGAACATCGCACAGAAAATAAAAAAAAAAAAGAAGCTGACACCAACCAAAGTACAATTCACGAAACAACATTCAAATATTTCTATGAACCGAGTGATTAAAGGAGTCAGTTTAGATTACAAAAAATTAAATACCCATACGTTTAAAAATAAAAAAGTTGTAACTTCCATTTTGAAGAAAAAAACGATAAACAAAACCATTGACAAACAAAAGAAAGCACCAGAAATGAAAAATAAAAATGCGCAATTAATCAAACTAAAAACCAAAAAGACAGTCAACATGAAGAAGGTACCCAACCAAACCAAACCGAAGGGAGATATCAAAAGCGACAAAATTAAGAAGGACGATAAGACAAAGAAGAACGGAAAGGTCACTAAAATCGAAAAGGAAAAGAAAGAAGAAAAGGCCAAAAAGAACCTCAAAAAGGATGCCAAAGAGGCAGACGGAAAGGTGCAAAAAGGTGACAAGTCCAAGACGGGTGACAAGAAGGAAAAGGTGAAAAGTGAAAAGGCTGTCATAAAAAAAATCGACAAAGGTAACAAGGACAAGGGCAAGGACAAAAAGGCAGAGAAGGTAGAGAAGTCGGAGAAGAAGCCTGAGAAGAAAGACGAAAAGAAGCCAGAAAGGAAGGACGATAAGAAGGCGGAAAAAAAAGAAGAAAAGAAAGGGGACAACAAGGTGGACAAGAAGCCAGCCAAGAAGGAAGATAAAAAGGCGGACAAGAAGGACGACAAGAAAGAGGACAAGAAAGACGACAAGAAAGACGACAAGAAGTATGACAAAAAGGCAGACAAAAAAGCAGACAAAAAAGACGATAAGAAGGTAGAAAAGAAAGCAGACAAGAAGGACGACAAGAAGGCAGAAAAAAAGGCCGACAAGAAAGACGACAAGAAAGACGACAAGAAAGACAACAAGAAAAACGACAAAAAGGACGACAAAAAGGTTAAGAAAGATATTTTGAAAACGCAGAAAACGAAGAAGTAGTGCCCTCAACGGCGAACAAGCTCCCTTAAGTTCTACTTTAATACCCATGCAGGGAGGAAAAGGGGAAAATAAATGACCAAAGTGCTGTTACCTGGTGGACACGCCGAGCGAAGCAACGCGAGCTTAACACACGACGCAGAGTACCTCTCTAACAAATGACCCACAGCCGCGCAGCTTTGTCCAAACGGATAAGCTAACACAGCGGAAACCTCACAAACACGTCGCGTAGGCGTAAGTGTATATGCAGAAGCGGACATGTACTATCGCGTCGACGCCGACTGGGTGTAACTCCTTTTAAAACAAAGACCCCCAAAGATGACCCTCCATTCTCCTTTTCTTTCGAAAGTCGCCTAAGACTCACTTCTTAACATATTTTTTTTTTTTAATGAATAAAAAAATTGTTTTTCAAAAGAAGAGCATGTAGGAAGAAATGTACATTCGCGTCAACATGTGTTAATGGAAATGCGTCCATCGAGTTCGCGCGCATTTCTATGTGTGTTTGTGCTTAATTGTGTCAACACATGCCCACACGTTATACTACACCTGGTCAACCATGCTTACGCATGGCCCCAAAGAGTTTCCACGTTCACATCATTTAAAAAGAACGTTTTAGGAAATGTTCATTAAAGTCGAATGGGGACCAAAACAATACACACTCGTATTTAAAAGATTTGAAAGTAAAAGAGTCTGTAATTATAATGAGGGGGGAAGAAGTTTCCCCGATCGGCTTAGTCAGCCTAGACAGCCCAGTTAGCCTATTCGGCATAGTCGTACCAGTGAGCGTGGCCATTTCAGGCACTCCTGGCAGTAAGCCAGGACATACCATAACCTCTCGATTGGGCATATTTGCACATATACAAATATAAATCAAAATGAATGACGTGCTCAGAATATCCCATGGGGGAGAAAAAAAAAAAAAAAAGAAACTCCACGCTTGAAGGTACATCACCGAGGAAGCCGCCGCGGCAAGCGTGAGCCCAGTTTGAGAAGAATGCTGTGAATCAATCGAAGGTGAGAGCAGTAGAAGCGCATGATTTTCTTTTTCCCAATCGGGTCGAGCGATAAATTCAACATTTTGACAATCCTAATATAGGTGAGGTCTCTTTTTTTTCGAATTTTCCAATACAGTTTTATGACGTACACAGATAAGGAAATTAAATGCTCAATGTTGTGATCGAAAAGGAGCAAAAGGGGCTGGACATTTTTTGTAGAATTTGGAAATTGCTTCTTTCCCCAGATTAATGCATCCTTCTTTGTATAATTCAGATCGAAGAACGAATTCAATTCATCCACTTCTCTATTAAAAAGTTCTTTCATTTTGTCCAGGCCTTGATAGGTTAGGTAAAATTTCCAGAACTTAAAGGATAGGAAATATTTTTGCATGACATGGACGTAGTTGTATACATCTTCATCTAATCTGTTGTGGGTTGATATAGGGGTGTCAAAATAGTGGAAGAGTCCATCTTTAAATATCAGGTGGTTTGGTTTCCTCGGGAGGGGAATAAAGAAGCAAAGAACTTTATTGCAGCTGAGGTGCAAATTCCTTTTACACAAATTGTAGAAAGTCTTGTAGTTAATAAAATCTTTACTGAAGGGGTAGGTAATCTCATCAATTTCGACGGTGATGCAGTTTTTGCTATCGATATATTTGCTGCTGCCGAATTTTTTCTCCAGACTTTTTGTGCATATGCTTTTTAAGCTACTAGATGATTCTAGACTGATTTCTAAAATGCGTTTTACGAAAAGTAGGATTTTATGATTATGTGTTTGGTTTGAATTGCTGCAGCATCTGATTACCCTATTTTGATAATACAACTCTTCCATTTTTTTCAGCAAGGCATACTTCTTATTTTGGTGTATTAGTGAGATGACTAGGAAGTACATGTCCAGAAATTCACTTCGTCTTTGAATATCTTTAATGTTTCTTTTTATGTAGTCTATTACCCCTTTGGGGGCTTCTTTTTCGTTATCTTTTGATGTTTTTTTTTTACTTGGAAAGATGAAATTCTGGGGGCTACCCTGCTTCGAGCTATTCAACGGGCTATAATAGTTGCTGCAGGTTTTGAACATGAGGCTGTTCACGCGCGTGAAGTTCCTCAAGAGGGATATGTTTGAGAGGGACACCTTGGAGCCCAGAGGGACTAATGCACTTAGGTGCGCTTTTAGTTGAGCGTTTTTCTTTTTCTCCTTGTTTTCCGCGATGATGTCCTTCGCTTCTCTCGCCGCGTCCTGCATCACGAAGTGGTACTCCTTTTTGTAGCCCTCGAATCTGGGACGGGCGTCAGGAGGCAGAGAAGAAGTGATGAAGATGCGGGGAAGACGTGATGAAGATGCGGAGAAGACGTGATGAAGATGCGGAGAAGACGTGGTGAAGATACGGAGAAGACGTGGTGAAGATGCGAAGAACACCAGGTGAAGATGCGAAGAACACCAGATGCAACTGTGGAGAAAACCAATTGAAGCTGTGGAGAGGGTGCATCTCCCCGGTTTATGCAATGTCACCCCCCGCTAGCGATTTCCTCCGCCTACCGCCTCTTTATCATTCTCCAGATATTCTTAAACGTGTTTATAGAGAGGCGTTGCTTAAAGTCCTTCCTGTCAAATTCCTTCCACTTGACGAACCCTTTGAGCGTAAAATTGGGGGTGCAAAATGAGGGGTGTAAAATGGGGAGTGCAAAGGGGGGAGTTCAAAAATAGGTGTGCCATCGCACGGGGGGGAGCGCTCTTTCATGTGCGAATACGCATGGAACGTCGATTTGCCTGATTCGCCGCTTAAGTCTCAACGCCTTTGTTTTGTTCCCCTCAGTTTTGCTCTCTGTATAACCGTATACCAACTTATCCCGGTAGCATTTCCTGATGAGCGTCTCGACGTCCTCCTTGGACAAGGACCTGCCAAGTTGGAAAATCGAAAGGGTGAGGAGATATAATATCGGCATGGGATCCATCCAAATGGAAAAGAAAAAGTAAAACATGAATGCGTAACTATATGATCGGAGTAGACGCGCCAGGGGAAAACATTTTTTGGCATTACTCCAGTGAGTTTTTATTCTTCTTCTTTGAGGCATCCATTTTGGCGCAGACCTAACGTAGCACAAATAGGAGACGAGCGGGTGAGCACATAGATGTAGCTACAAGTAAAGGGGATAAACTGAAGGAGAAAATAGAATAGAATAAAATAAATGCAAAATGAAGGAGAAACGCATCACACAAGGTGATTTTACCGCACCCGTTCTGCAGCGTCCTTTGGAGTTACCCTTAAGTGTGGAAGCAACACTGAGAAAGGGAGAATCTACCAGAGTACCAAACTTGGAGTTGTTTTCTTTTTTTTTTTACTACTATTTCTGTCGTTGCCACACAAGTTTGGGGGACAAATAAAAAAAAGGAAGTTTCGCGAATGAGAAGTTTATTGGATCTGGTGCCATGTAACCATATGCGCGATATGCCCAGGCAAGAGAGTGCAAAGAAAAAAAAAAAAAGAGGAACTATAATAGTTTTCTTTAAATGCTGTCCCTTATTTTAAACTTGGAGACCTAAATTGCAACCCAGGTTCCCCTCATATAAGCTGCCCAAAATGAAATTGTCCTTTCACACATCAGCAGTGCATTTCGTGTAATTTTTCGCATCAAAATGATTTTTCCATTCATGCGGCATTTTAAGCTTGGGAGAAAGAGGGTTACTATGGGAAGGCCAAATTTGCCTCACTGTCTACACCAATGATGCACTCTTTTGCGCTATGCTGTGTCGTCCCTCTTGGTTTGTCTTCTACGAGAGTTTATCGTGCAAAGAGTCCGGAGGAAAATCTGGGCGAATTGTGCACACCCAAGTTTTGCTTTTACTCCATTCGATGGTAAATATAGGGTACAAGTGCTATGCCAATTTTACCACATGTTATATGCAAGTTTGCCCTATTTTGTGTCTGTGCTTGGGGGAGACTCCCTCTTTCTCTAAACATACCCTTTGGATCAGCTTAATGCTCCAGACTGACATGACTGAAGAGCTGATTCCCCAGTGTTTAGTTCATAATGTTGCGAAAAAGGCATATACGTAAGGTAAAAAAAAAAAAAAAAAAAAAAAGACAACTTGGAGTTTTCTTTCCAGTGTGGGATATAGTGCACAGCCAAAGTAAAATCCTCTATTGTGCAAGTGAAAAATTAGTGGAACACGGCAATATGTTAGGAAATCTCACTTTAGCCTTTTTCCCTTTTGCGTGTTTCCTAATCAGGGGCTGAATAGCGAACATAAGACCTCTCCCCACATCTGCGTAGGAATTCGCGAAGCAATTCACTGCATGTTAGTGTTATCTTGCGGATCGCGTTCCTACGGGTCTACATACATTCGTTCGCGGAAAAAGAAACTCGCAGGGATCGCACACTTTGCGTGAATTTTAGTTTAAAAAAAAAAAAAAATAAAAATAAATTTTTTATCGATATAATCAGACACGTCATAATTTCGTTGGGAATAAAGCCACACAGGGGTATGCATCTCCACGGACCTACATCTGTACAGGTACGCACATCTGGGCAGGCATATGTAGCATCAGCTATAAATGGAGAGCGAGCGTTTTATCCATATATAGCTGCTGATAGGGCGTGTGTCCATTACGCTCCTTTGCGCGTTAGACGGGGAAACACACACTGCAAGGAGGGGTTGAAACGGCCACAAGGTGGAGCAAAAAGTAGTGCAAATTTTGATAGCGTTAAAATGAAATGTGCGAAAGTGGATTAGTAAAAAGGGGAAGGCAACTAGTTTGAGTGAACGCAAATTAGGTACACGCCTTTCTAACCGGATAGCAGTGCAGGAGAGGGAACCACAACTTAACGCGCATACGTAGATATATATGTATTATCTGTACACCTGCATGAGGCCCCTTTTTTATTTTTTTCCCAACGCAGTCGCACGCGCTGCATCTAAACATAAGGCAAAGTGCCCCGTTTCCTCACCCATCTAAGAGGAGTGCATACTTACAAAAGGTACTGCCCAAAGGGGAAGAAATAAAAACTCGGCTGAGTGGGTTAGCTACTCAAGCGTTCGCATAGATTACACCTGAGAAAGCCACATAATGAGGTGTAATTCGAATCAAAATTATATTATAAAAAAAGTGAAAAAAAAAAAAATGTATAATTTCTTTTTTGAAGATTTTAAGAAACTTTGTAAAAGGGATCCCCTGCGACGCGCCCTGAAATAGAGTTCACCGTTTGGACGTCGTCACAAAGAATAAGTAGATTTAAACGAGCATCGAAGGACCACTTTGTGCCGTCTAGTAAAGATTTTTTTTTTTTCTTCTTCTTCTTTCTCCCCTCTGACAAAACTGCCATATTATTTTTTTCTCGCACTCTCTACCTGTGCAGACGAAGCAACCACAGTCGGCTAGTGTTCCACGGTAACGCATAGCGCCGTTACTTCACTTCGGGGACTTGCACTTTGTGTTGCAGCGCAACAAGTACACAGAACCGTGAATATTCATAGGAGAAAACAAAGAAATATTCTTTCTATTTTTTTTTTGTCCCTGAGTGGAAGAAAAGCAATTCGTATTATTCTGTTCACCTTGTTGTGGGTGCATTTTTGATTGTACATTTTCCTGTGCCCATTCGTGGGGTCTCCAAAATAATCCCCGCGGCTTCTCCTTCCTTTCGAGAACCCTTCATCAGTGCAAAATTGGAAGTTTGCGGCTCGGTTCCTTTGTCTTTCAGCGTGTCCCGAGAAGGGCATGCGGAAAGGAAGCAATCTCGCCAAAAAGGAGAGGATAAGTAGCGGCACAAGTTAGCGGTGCAAAACTGCTCTTTAAGTTAACACCCCAAACTAACTTCACAAACGCCAAGCGGACGAACAAGATGGTTACCAAGGGCGGCGCGAAGAAGAAAGCAAAGGTGAGGGCCTACGACATTGAAGAGTCCAAAAGGATATTCCTATACGCCTACGAACACCAACTGAAAAATGAAAAGGTTAACTGGAAAAGGGCAGAAGAGTCCAGAGTGACTAGCCACAGTGCAAGCTCGATGAGGAGTCACTACGTGAATTCTATAAAACATGAGGTGTCTTTGTACCTGGAGATGTATGCAGAGGAAGTTGCTAAGCTATTTAACAAAGTGAAGAAGTGGAAGAAGGAAGAAAAAAAAAAAAAAATGATGCTTCTTCAGAGCAGCACGCTGGTGAAGCAAACGTCCAATATTTCTCTAGACAGAGTAACTAAGGGGAAAAGCACAAACTATAACAAATTTAATTCGCTAATAATTAGTAAAGCCTTCTCCATGAAGGGTAACCGCAGCATGAGTAGCAAGCAGAACTGCTCCATTAACCCAAGAAATGTGGCCAATCCACATACGAAGAAGAAAAAAAAAGACACGATCGTTTGCTCTGGTGGTCGTGCTAGCGCAAGAGCGAGCGCGAGAGATGGTAGAACGAAGAGCCAATCAGGAGTATCTAAAAGCAGCCTTAAAAAGAAAAAAATAAAGAAAGTAAAATTTGCACAAAAATGTTCCCTTGCAGTCAAGGATAAAAAAATAGACAAAAATGTGGCCAAAAGTGCAGCCAAAAGTGCAGCCAAAAGTGTAGCCAAAATTGCACCCCAAAATAACGAAATCCTTAGCAGCAATGTAGAAAGAACAAATAACCCCCCCAACAATTCGTTCAATACAGATATGAGTGATAAAACGGATAAAAGGAAAAGCGAAAAGGAACGGGGGAAACACACGCGACTGTCCGAAAATTACAAAATGGAAGAAAAGGACATATCCCAAGGGAGCAAAGAGAGTAAAAATGTTAAAAGAAAGGTAAACGATGAGAACGAGGTAGAAATGAGCGTAGACGGAACGGTTCATGGCAAACGAGGGAGTAACGCATTGAACGAAGTGGACCATATAAAAATACCTGTCGAAGAACACCCGATCCAGAAGTATCATCTCGAGTCAAGACCAGCAAAAAGGTACAGCAACCAGATTTCTCCTCTTCAAAGCAGAGCAAAAAGGGCCAAACACTACGCAGCTAATTTCAACTCGAAGGAATTCAGCAGGAGGGACAAACAATACGACACGAAAATGTCAAGTGGAAACGTTAGGGAAGGGAAAAGAAGTTCCATCAGCTCTATTTTTGGGTACATTTACGATAAAATATTCCGCTGAAAATGGGAGCGGCTAGCCCGATTGGCCCAATTGCCCCGAGTCCCACCCTTCTGAGCAGTCTTCTTTCCTAAATTATGCAAAACAAACGAGGGGAAGAATCACTTCGATCAATTCCCCCCCGTAACAAAACAAAGTGCCAATCAATGCTGAAACGTTTGAGTCGGCGTTACACGGTGCAGCAGAGTAATGTGTCTGTTGATTTGCAAAGGAGAGAAGACACAGAAGAGGTACTAAAAAAGGCGCGTTTTGTTTGTGCCCTTCGTATAGTGCTCAAGTTGACTGTGCCTGTGGTTAATTCACCCCCCTTCTTCACAGCAGCCTGAGATGCAGATATACTTATAGCTATGTATATGTCGATGCATACGTGTTCATTTGCTTGCATCTGGCGCATTGCAGCCCATTTTACACCCTTCTGTTTCACTTATTAATACATTGTGTTTGTTTGTTTATCAAAATTGATCTTTCCTACTCTTACTTATGTGCCAAAGGACCATTAATATAGGGAAGAAATAGTATCTATTTTTTGTTTTCCGTGTAAATTAAATTCCCTTTTTCCTCCTTATGTCTTCATAATGAGTAATTGAATCCGTGAAGTCATCGCTCCATGTCCTCACATAAATGTATGACACAGAACGTGTAGAAGCTCCCTAAATTTTTTGAAAAAAAACTTATCCCTTCCAACCCCTTATTCGCTTTTTTAAAAATCGTCAAAATGGGGAGCAAATTTACGTTATTACACCGTTGCAGGGAAGAAATAAGACATGGGTGAACAGACTGGGGTGGAAAGGACGAAGTGTGGCGGTGTCTTAACCAATATGGGTACCTTCAAGGTAGACACCCTACTCCACTCGCAAAATTTGCCAACGAGCTGTGTTATATTTTGCTTCACGCAGGGGCCCTCCTGAGCCATGTAAGTTGAGCATGCGTGTGAACTGCGCGATTAGGAAGAAGAGGAGGGGGGGTTCCACTGTGCACGGCATTTGTTCGTACGTATGTGTAAGTATGCATTGAAGCGTGTATGGACGCATGTACATACGCGCACATGACACACACACGCGTAGGTGCCAGTGGGGGTTGTGTTGGGGCCCGGCTTGCGCTCAACAAAAAAGGTGGGGATAAGTTGTATTAATTAAAAAAAGGGTGGAAAATAGCAGCCGCGGAATTGGCGGCGCCAACAATTGCATCCACACAACAGGAGCAACTGCAGCCGCGTTTGTATCTACATCTGTAACTGCAACTTCAACTGCCATGGTGGAGAAAACATGAAGAGGCATAACGCAAATTGGTACTTAATAATGCGTAAAATAAAAAAAAAAAAAACAATTTCGGAGACATTAAAGCAAATGTAGAAGAAATTTCCTTTAATGGTTAATAAATGGGCTACGCAAAACTCGCACGGAAATGCAGCATCACAGTTTGTTGAATATCCATGCAACGTAGAAAAAAACGAGCAAAAAAAAAAAAAGAAAAAAAAACTACGGCCAGAAGAAGCGCTGCAAACCAGGAAGCCGCAACACCTCGCTTCATGTGTTCGCCAGTACTTTTCGCACTTGGGAGTTTCCCCCTTTGATTGTGCTCTTCAATTTGGTACACTACCAGTTTGCTAGTAGACCAAATGAGTATTTTTTCATATGGATAATTTAAAAAAAAAAAAAAAATCTGCGCATTCAAACACAAACAGAGCACACGTTCTGTACTAAAAAAAAATGGATTTAACGGGATAAGCGAAATTTCCAGTTTTTCTCTTTTTTCTGTTTCTTTTTTCTTCTTCCTTTTTCTTCTTCCTTTTTTCTTTCCACCTCAACTGAAGATGGGGCAGGGTCTCTGCTACACCTTATCGTCGTGAAACATCCACCTCATATTTTTGGGGGAAACTTTTGGCCCAGCAGAACAGTAGAGCATGTCGTCGATTGGCTTTCTCTTTTTTGTGCAGCTTGAAAGCATCGAAATGATGGACAGGCATATGGAATTAACTGACAGGACAGGAGACCAGTGATCATATAAGATTGACAGGCAGATGTGCCCATTGCTGTAAATGTGTGGGTGGATTGGCGGTTCTCCTATGAATATCACTTCTGGGCTTTCTGCGAGGCGGGGAAAAGGGTTTAGTGGTTAGCACGTGGGATTGTTCATATATGATGTGTGTGTATGGATGAGTGTACGGGTGCGTGTATGCGTGTGTGTGTGTTTGTGAGGGGGGTAAACACAAACTGGTAAATACGGCCCATGTGCACACGAAGGTGCTATAACTCCAGAGGTGTTGAACCCCGCTCCAAAGAGCTTTCTCCATTTGCGCACCTATTGGATACTTCTCGGTAAACTTAAATTGCATTTTAAAGGTTTCATTTGAGTACAAGGTATTTTCTGCGCCCTTAATTTGTATGATCCATTTATCGGAATATTCTTGTATTAATTTAATTGTGTTTTCATTTTCATTTAGCAGTTCCAATCTTTCCTTTTCCAGTCTTCTCTTTGAGAGCCCTCCTAACTTGAGCTCATCAGTATTATTTTTTATCGTTTCTTCATTGTTGTTTCCATTGGAAGACAGGCTGTGGTCGTTTAGGGAATTTCGAAAGTTCTTCATGTGGCTCGACTGGCTCTGTTCAGACACGGACTCCGACTTGTGTGACACATATGTGTTGTCCTTGACGTAGCTTTGGATTTCGCTGAGGTTCCTTCGGGGAGGGGCGGCGGTAACCATGTTTAGAGTTGTGACGCAAGCTTAGACTTGTTATTCATGTCCAGAGCTGCTACGATTGAGCATGGCTCCTTTTGGGTACGTGCCAAACGAAGGGACACACCCCAGGAATGCACTGGATAAAGGCGATGTGACAAAATGGCGAGGAACATTCCCTAGCTTTTCATACCTTGTCAGCGTGTCGTCATTCGCCACGGGAAAGAACCATTTTTCCTCATCCTTTAAAGGGGAATAAATGGAGAAATAAAAAATGATGGTCTCGTTTGGGTGGTTTCCCCCCACAGTAGGGGAGAAGTTTTGCATGGAACAATTGATCCTTCGGCCTTCTCACAGTTTGGCCTCCTTTACCTCCTCGAACCCAAGGCACCTCAGGACAGCATCCGATCCAGTGAAATGCAGAAGCTGTTAAGTATTCGGGAAGGGACGCATGCAAGTGTAACCAGAGATGCTAAGTATGTACCCACGTATGCAAGTACATGTGTGCAATGCCAACGAAGTAGCAACTCGGTGAATGCACTCTTTCCCCAGGATACCTTATTAATAAAAGTTTTGTTGTCCTTTTTTAAGGAACGAAACTTTGCCCTGGAGGGATTTTCAATAATTCTGCGGGGAAAGGGGGAAAAACGTTAGTGAGCAGGCATGCCCTAGGATAAGCTACACGGACGAAGGTAGGGACAAACGGGATTCCCTACGAGCGTGTTTAACAGGTAGGCGATATCTCTCATTTGGTGAGCTGCACACGTCTCGTCAAGTGCACATTTCTTTTACTTTTGAAGAATGTGGATCAATACGTTCAGTATTTCCCTCTTTTGGTCATTCTGTACATCAAAAGGGAGAAAATAAAATGAAATGAAAAAATGAAATAAAAAAATGAAATAATTGGGGAAGGCAAGCATAGAAAAGGCATAACACAACATGTGTAAGCATGTAACACTTTTGGGAGAAGCGCAATCGAAGCAGTTTCCTCCTCTTATGCAACGGATGGGCAGCATGGAATGTACGCATGTGGGCCTAGTACAATGCAGGAGGCTAAACAGATTTGTAAAAAAATGCCCCTTTTAACTTTTCCCGAGACGTGGAAAGAATCAAGTATGAGAAAAAATGTACGGATTTACGAGAATGATAGAGAAAGACAGCAACACATTTTTGTACAAGTGTGTAGAGTCAATGTTGCGTAAAATTTATAACTGCTGAAGTTGTTTTTTTTCTCCTTTCTCTTTCTTGGTTTCTTTCTCTTTCTCCTATTTTTTTTTTCTTTTTTCCGTATTACATTTAAATTTGTGAAAACATTACATAGGGCCTCTTTCAATGTTACCATTTTTTAATTTTGCTACACTTGTGGAGTGGGGTATAATAAATGGTATTTAAAAAAAAAAAAAAACTCTTATTTTTAACTATTTTCACGTTATTTTGTGCTGTTCTCGTAATGTTAACAACCTCCTGTAATTCATCGTGTTCGCTTGGCAAAATAAACCAAAATGCATGTTCTCTGCTTAACGCTATTGCTGCAACGCCTGGGATGTTTACTCTAGCAGTGCTCTTATTGTCCTTGCTACTCTTTTGCTGCTTGCGCGACTATTTTGCTATGCGCTATGTTTCCTACTTTTTAATCGCTAAACTGAAGGAAGAAGCATGCAAGAGGCATCAGCACGGGTACTCCTTAAAGAGGTCAAAAAAAAAAATAAAATAAAAAAAAAGGAAGAGCAATAAGAGCCGGCACGGAGGATGGAACAAGGAGCCTCGAAGGGTAAATCATTCCATATGTTTACATATAACCGCAAGCAAAAAAATGGGATACGCAGTTCCTTAGGTTTGCAATTTGCTTGAAAAAATCAACTGCACTTTTCTTCGTTTTCATCATTTCGGTGTTACCTGTACGCCATTTGTTTGCTAATTTTGCCAATCTGCAAATTTGTCAATTTGGAAAATTGCTAGTTTGCTGGTTTGCTTTTTTCTTTTTTATGATATATTGTTGAGGAATTAAAATGGGAAGAAATTCCCAATTCAAAAAAAAAAAAAAACGTGGAAAAGCGATATGTATTCATTCATACATTTGTACCCGTAAGCGGCGATGGGGAATATGCCGCTGGACCTGAGTTCCAAAATGAAAGTGTTAAAGAGACCGTCAAAGAGATATTTAACAAATATGCGTCAAGCGGAAGGAAAAACTCATTGTAGGAATGCCAATGCAATGGAAAAATCCCCCTACAACCTCGCAAGCGCGGGAAAAGGGGAACTATATAAAACGACGTTCCATTTGGAAGACTCCACCTGTTACTACAGTATTTTGTACGCATGTATGAAATGTACCCATGTATGTACGTAATTATATAAGCGTGTTAATATGGGGGAAGGGGGACACTGCATCGCGTAGCGCAAGTGCGTAGTTTGTTACCTCGTTCGAATTGCATGCGTAAGTTTCGAATGCACATGGAGAATAGTTTTAACACGAACGAGAAGTGAATAGCGGTAGAACTCGTTAGAAATGTCTCTTTCGGCACACCTGCGTTTCGCGACAAAGGGGTCATGCTAGTCGCACCACAAGTAACCATTCCCGCGTTGAGTTCGTTCTCCGTTTTTTCAGTTAAGCGGGGTTTTCCCTATTTGCCTCTCATTTGAGCTCTACAGTTGACACTTAATTTGCCCCCATAGTGAACACTTGTGTCGAAAATGTGAAATCAAAACTGAGTGTACAAAAGGAGGAGTCAAAGAGGGTACAAACCTGTGTGTACTCATTCGGTGGAATGAAAAAAAAAAAATAAATAAAATAAAGTTTCTTAATGGTGTTATACCTACTCTTTTTCCTTTTACATATGTATGCACATATCCGTAAGAAGCCTAAACTCCCGCAACATTCTTCCATCCCTAATTTTGCAACTATTTCTCTTAACAGAACAAAAAAAAAAAAAAAAAGCGAACTTAAGAAGAGGGTTCCTTTCCTTTATCTTATTTTAAGGTGTGATCTGAATTGTTAAATCCTCGAGTACCCCCATCCCCAATTTCGCAGACACCAAGGGGGTAAAACACGAAATCGTAGAATAATTGATGGAGGGATGCAATGAGGAATGGAAAAAGTATGCCTTGTTAGCATTTGAACATCGGATTAACCCTAGCTTGTACTACAAACACATACATGCCACATAATTGCCTTTCCCTACTTCTCCTTTGCCTTCTTAACGATATGGCTGAGTAAATCCCGTTTTAAGGCAAACAATTTCACGTAAAAATGACGGCCCTATTCCGTTGCAAAAAAGCATCGTAAAAATTAGAGTGACAGGAAATTACAAAAATGAAATAATTTCTAAGTGATGTGGAGGAACAGTGATAAAATATTTTGTATCGGCAAATGTGCTTGGGAGCACTCTTGAAAAGTTAACAAATGTATGAAAAGTAGGTCCTTCTCCATTCCAGTGCATCATTTTTTGGCACGCAACATCCCTCCGTGTAAATCTGCATCATATGGTGTGTCATATGAGGGCAATCAAAATTATCCGAATCTCTCAAGATTAACCCCGCATTCTTCACCCAAGTTAGGCAAGCATTAGTCACTCATGCGAGCACGCGGCATAAGCATACGAAGTATTGCTTCGATGAATGGAACCGCATGCTAATTCGTTTATTCCTACGCTTGCTTCACACTGAGGGGTTCCCTTACTGGACTTAATTGACATTCGTCGCTCACCCGCTTTTATAACATTTAGGGGGAAACACGTAGATGCCCAATTTGTGTACACGTGAAGGTACAAATACGTACATGCGTTGATACCTTCTGATTTGATTACACAGACGCTGTTGCGTTTTACCATTTTTGTGGAACACGAGAAGTCAGGCCAGCCGAGCATTAAACAATGAACGATGATAATGTAAGAACGGAGCGGATGGAAAGGTGGATGTCTGCCTCGTGAAAGACGCGCAACTGTATAAGCCCGTCGGTGAGGCAGTCGCGCACACGTGCGGCACAGAGGGGCGTAGGCAGCTACATGGGATCGCATCGCAGATGTTTCACTTATCTGTTACATATTTCTTATCTGTTACTTGTTTGTTATCTCTTATTTGTTATTTCCCCTCCCGCCGCAGAAGGAATTTTCCGGAAGAAACATTTACCAGCTAATAAAAAATGCCAAGGACAAAATCAAAATTGATTACAAGTTTTGGTACACGCAGCCCGTGCCTAAAATAAATGACGAGTTTAACGAATCGGTGAGACCCCTAGCTGTTTGTGCACCACCACTCCATGTGTGTGGAACACCTTAACATGAGTACATAGTTTCCTCGTTGTGTGGCTGTCATAATCCTTTTGCGCACCATTACTGTGTTGATAAAGTTGTGTACATATAGCTGCATAGCTGCGCAGGGCGACCCATTTCGATACCATCTTCGCCCCCCTACACACACATTCCGCCGTCTCCCTTGCAGGTGAACGAGCCATTCATAAGTGACAACAAAGTGGAGGATGTCAGAAAAGTGAGACCATTTTTATGTGTCCCTCTAAAGTTGTAGATATGGAGGCTTTTTTCCCCCCCTGTAATGGGGCGCGTATTTTCTTTGCAGAAAAAGATCCCATTTTTTTTTGCTCAGATTAACGGAATAATCACTTTATAATTAATTCTTCTGTCTGTCTATCTATATGTCTGTTTTTTTTTCTCTCCCTCAGGATGAGTACAAACTGCCGCCAGGGTACTCCTGGTACGTGTGCGATGTGAATGATGAAAAGGACCGGAGCGAAATTTACACGCTCTTAACAGACAACTACGTAGAAGACGACGACAACATCTTCCGGTTTAACTACTCCGCGGAGTTTTTACTATGGGCTTTGACGTCGCCAAATTATTTAAAGACGTGGCACATTGGCGTAAAGTATGATGTGTCGAATAAGCTAATCGGATTCATAAGTGCCATTCCGACGGATATATGCATTCATAAGAAAACGATAAAAATGGCCGAGGTTAATTTCTTATGCGTTCATAAAACGTTGAGGTCAAAGAGGCTAGCTCCAGTCTTAATTAAAGAAATCACAAGGAGGATAAATTTAGAAAACATATGGCAAGCTATTTACACAGCCGGAGTCTACTTACCCAAACCAGTAAGTGACGCAAGATATTATCACAGATCTATAAATGTAAAGAAATTAATCGAAATAGGATTCTCTTTCTTAAACTCCAGATTAACGATGAGTAGAGCTATTAAATTGTATCGAGTTGATGACACATTAAATTTAAAAAATATGAGATTAATGAAGAAGAAAGATATCGAAGGAGTGCACAAATTGTTGGGTAGTTATTTGGAGCAGTTTAATTTATATGCTGTTTTTACGAAAGAAGAAATTGCCCATTGGTTTCTTCCCATCGATAATGTTATTTATACTTATGTAAATGAAGAGGCTGGAAAAGTTAAAGACCTGATTTCCTTCTATTCCTTACCCTCCCAAATTCTGGGCAATGATAAGTATAGCACTCTCAATGCTGCCTACTCCTTTTACAACGTCACCACCACAACTACATTCAAAAATTTAATGCAGGATGCCATTCTCTTGGCCAAAAGGAACAACTTTGATGTTTTTAACGCACTGGAAGTGATGCAGAATAAATCCGTTTTTGAGGACCTGAAGTTCGGTGAGGGCGACGGGTCGCTCAAGTACTACCTCTACAACTGGAAGTGCAGGTCCTTCGCGCCAGCGCACGTCGGCATTGTGCTTCTTTGACGGAGAGAGCAGCGGGGCGGTGCTGCGGCGAGGTGGTGAAGAAGCCAGGTACACAATAACGCGGTGCACAATAACGCCGTGCAGATTAACCGGTGACGTCGCACTGCCATGACATCACTGTGCTGCTGCCAAGCAACCAAAGCGCTTTGCGCACGTGGATGTTGGAAAGGTCGCCCAGTCTGGGATAATTTCATGCGGCTTAAGTTGAAAGGGGGAGCCCGTGCCCACCTCCCCATTTCCTCAAATGTTAGCTGCCCATGGGGAGGGAGCCTCTGTGGCCACAATTGAGCGTATGAAAACACCCCCGGAGGAACAAAAACAAATTGCGAACATGTTATGTTCAGAAAGGTTGTGGACCGAGTAAAGGTAGAAAAGTGCACAATGAAAATAGGAAGAAAAGAAAGGGGGCAATACCTTAATGTTGGATACATCCCTTTTATCTCATAGAGTGCTTTTTTAAAAACGACTGCTACGTGTGTGTGTAAAAGCGAGGAGGGACCGCTTTCGTTTCCTCGCCTTCTCCCTCCTCTTCATCTTCTTCTGCTTCATCTCCTTGTTATTCATCTTCTTCACCTTCTTCTCCTCGTCCTCATCTTTTTTTTTTCCCCTTCCAGTTACCCTTTTTTTTGTTCGTTATACTTTTTATAGAAATTTATGAGCTTGTCGGATGTTTGCGGTTTAATTTTTTTTAAGACCTTGACGAAATGCTCTTTGCTCAGACCAACCAAAGAACTTCTGGGGAAGGATCCTCTCCGCATTTGTTTTTCATTTCTGCAGTTTTTCAGAGTCTCTCGTAATGCACATATGGATGCTTCTCTGCAAATATTTACAATTTCGGCACCGCTGTACTTTTTTGTTTTCTTGGCCAAAAATTGGCACAGCTGTGTGAAATTATTATCATGAGGGAGGGGTTCCTTTTGGTGTTCCCCCATCACATGACTGTTGTTCTTTTCTCCCTTTGGAAAATTCGCCCCCCATGGGAATTGTTCCTCATTTCTCGTTTTGGCATTTCCCTCACCCTCTTCTCCCATCGAAAGATTGATCCAATTTGGCGCTTTCTCTTCGTTCTCCAGCACAGAATTCGTGGGGATAAAGGAATCCGCGTTACAATCAACATAATGTTTTTCGTCCCTAATTTGTAGTTTTCCCACAGTGTGCATTTTAGCGGTGTCTGGGGAAGGATTCTGCTGCCATTCGAATGCTTCCCCTTGTGATAGGAGGTCCCTTTTGAAGGGGGGAGAGTTCCCACCGCAGGGATGTCTTTCCTCATTGGTCCTCGCCACGTAGGGACGTCGTCTTTCCTCATTGTTCATCCCCACGCAGGAATTCCTCGGGGGGTCATTTCCCCCCAGTGCATTTATCATATTATTAATTTTGTAAAACTTTAAAGTCTTCCTAAGAATAGATAATCTGGACTTATAATTTGGGAGGGGGACATAAATAATTCGATCGAATCTTCCCGGTCTTAACAAAGCGGGATCGATAAGATCGGGTCGGTTCGTGGCTGCCAAAATTATTACATCGACTCGGTTGTAAATTCCGTCAATTTCGTTTAGCAGCTGACATAGGACCCTGTTTGTGACGAAATTTTGGTTCAAATTTCTGTTCACCGCGATGGAGTCAATTTCGTCAAAGAAGATTACACAGGGATTGTTCTCCCGAGCTTTCTTAAATATATTTCTAATTGTCTTTTCAGATTCTCCAACATATTTAGAGAAAATTTCTGGCCCTTTAACACTGATGAAATTCATATTTATTTCGCAAGCTATGGCTTTTGCGAACAGAGTTTTGGAACACCCTGGGGGGCCATACAGCAAGATGCCCTTGGGGCTCTGTATGTTATATTTTTCGTACACCTGTTTGTATTTTTTGGGGTATATTAAACACTCTTTAATGCACCTCTTAACAAATTGGTAGCCTCCTATGTCTCTGATTCTTGTCTTGGGGATATCTACGTAGAGTTCTTTCATCCCGGAGGGCTTCACATATTTTAGCCCCTTCAGCAGGTGTTTGTATTTGAGAAGGTGCGCTCGTTCAGCAGGTTTGGGAGCAGGTTTGAGGGCAGCTCGGGGGGGTGGTCCTTCCCCACGCTGGAATGCCCCCTGGGTTTCCTTTGTTCCTTTGTTATTTTTTCCCGGTTCTTCCGCGTTATTTTGTCCAGGTTTTTCCCTTCCCTTTTGTCCTATTCCTTCCTCTTTATGTTTCCCCCCTTTTTGCCCTTCTTTTCCCTCCTCTTCGACCGCCTGCCCCTTGTGCCACCCCCGCAAGGTCCCCCTAAACACCCTGCGAGACACAACACGATTTTCCCTCAAACAAATGTACATGGAGACGTTGATTAACGCATTGATATCCGAGCAAGTGAAAGACTGGCACAAGTCTGCAATTTCTTTGATTTGCTTCCCACTTATGTTGTGATGGATTCTGTTTAGCTTTTTCTTAAAAATGGCAATTCGGTCTTTCAAGTTGGGGACATTTATCTCGATGTCTCTGTCAAACCTTCCACTTCTCCTCAGAGCTAAGTCCATTTGATTAATGTAGTTTGTTGCCCCTATCAAGATGGTATGTGTGTTCTTTTTTATTCCATCCATATTGTTAAGCAAAGAAGAAGTATACAAATTTATGTTTGCATTTTCTCTCTTTTCACAAAGAATTTCAATTTCGTCAATGAACACAATAGAGCATTTCTTTTCTTCTTTGTATCTCTTGTAGCACCTCAGAAAAAGTTCGTTAATCTTCGACCCACTGTTGTTGCTATCAATTAGGTCGGTACTTTTTAGGATTTCCATTTCTGGCAGGACCATGTCGTCCATGAGATGGTCATTAATTAACTGCCCACTTCCGTTGTGACAGCCCGTTTGTGCCTCTCTGCATTGCTCTTCTGCGCTCTCCTTTTTTAATCTAATTAGTTCATCCATTTTCTTTTTCAACTTCATGTGTGATAATTTCCTCCTCAATTGTAGTAACTCCTCTTTGATTGCCAAAGCGATGAATGTCTTGCCACACCCTGGAGGTCCATGCAGCAAAATGCCTCTGTTTATATCGATGTGGAATTCATCATAGACATTTTTATAAAACAGTGGCAATAAAATGTAGTAATAAATTTCGTCCTTGATTTTCTTGTACCCCCCTATTTTTTTTAGTCCCTTCATTTTTTGCCTATCTGCATTTTTTTGGTAATTCTTTTCTTTTCCGTTTTTGATCATTTTGGCGCTGTCAGGGGGGGGTGCGCCTTCGTTGGGCTCTTTTTTTGGCCCTTCTTTGGGCCCCTCTTTGGTTCTGTTTCCCCCGGGGTGGGCACCTCTTACGCTGTCATCAATTTTGTCATCAATTTTGTCATCACTTTTGTCATCACTGTTGTGATCGCTGTTGTCATCAATGCTGTTATCACTGTTGGCATCACGATTGGCATCACTCTTTGCAGTGACGCCGCCACCCTTGGTTGCACTCTCCGAGGGAACCGCGGCTGCCCTCTCCACAACAATCTTGCTACTCTGACTCACATAGGGGACGCGGAAATCCTTACCGAGCGGAGCCACATCCCAGTGTTGCTTCTCTTTCATTTGGACGACCAACTCTGTGACGGTCAAGCGCGTATGGACACCGAGCACAGAAATTTTTAGGCAGTTCCATGGAAACAAGCAAGTATTTAACAAGGACAGATTTATGTACCTCTCCATGTTCTTACTTTTCAGATTATTCCAAAAGGTTTGCAACATATAGCTACTATGTTCATCATCGTAATAGTCCTTTAAATTTTCATACGGTTCGTTAATTATTTCCTGCATTTCCAGTTTTATTTGTTTGATGGGGGTGTACAGCTCGGCTTTCCTCATTTCAACGCGCACGTTGTGGTGCCCTTTGTTAGCTTGCTTCTTGTCAGCTTGCTTCTTTCTCCCAGGTTTCCTTTCCCCACGGGTATTCTCATTTTCATCATCCTCCTCCTCTTCACGTTCGCTCGACACGCCAATGTTCAAACTGCTCAACAAAAATGCATTCGCAAAGACGTCATTCCACTTTGTCTGTTTTTTCAGGTTCGGCTCACTACACCCCTTCACGCAGCAGCAGACATATGCCTTCCTTCCTCCTTTCGTGCGGCACATAATAACGTTGTCATTTTCATTTAGCTTTAACTGTTTAAGGAGCTCGCGCGAGCAGTATAGGTTGAAATTACTTGCTATGTTTACCCTTTCTTCTTCCTCATCGTGCGGGAAAAAATTCAGGTTCACATGATGGGTGTCCATCAGGAGGAGCAATCCCAGTTGTTCCTCGGCCTCGGTCTGTACACTTAGGTTTGAGTGTAGCTCCTCCGTTTTGTCTCAAACCTGTCGGTCTGTTTCTCTTCGGGGGAGCAGCACATGCCGTCGGCCGCTGCTTCAGACATGGCGGGTGCTTATCATAGCCAATAAGAATAAACGCATGAGAGCATCGCGAACGTAGCTAACGCACCCCTTAGCTAGTGACCTTTGGACTCGCCTTGTAATTTTGAGCATCTTGAAGGGCTCACCCTAATTACGCCGCTTTCAACAGATTTACTACTCTGATGCGTCACATGTGTTCCGCTGTATCACATATGCAAAAGATACACGATTTGAGAAGGGAATAAAATAAGTTTCCCCTAACGAGCAATGGGCAAAAAGGAAAAAATGAGAACAAAATGGCGCAGTTATTTCTTAAAAGCACTGCAAAAAAAAAAAAAAAATAAGAAGGTAATAATTCCCGTTCCCTAGGGAGCGTTGGAAAGGGTCCGTACATCTAACAGGTGTTTCTCTCGTTATCGTCACGTCGGTTGTTTAATTTTTTTTTTTTTTTTTTTTTGCCCCTACATTTCTCGAACTGTTTCGCAGCACGTATGAATGATTACCCCCCTGTAGGAGGAAATAAAAAAGGGGAGCAAACCATAATTGGTACAAAAAAAAGAAAATTTTTTTTTTTGATGCAAAAAGTAGGAAGAAGGAAAAAGAGGCACAACCGGAGTGGTCAAAATTGGGAAAATAGAACAAAAACGGCTAAGCCTATTTGAAGAGATGCTAACTGGAATTAACGCCAAAGTAAGAAGTCTTTGAAACGCCAACCGGGTTCTATCCCCCATTGGATGCGATAAAAAACAAACGTGTACATAAGGAGAAATTTAATGCTTGTCAGTAGCTCTTCTTGAGTCTGTGCATAGTGCGAAAGGTAAAACATGGAAGTGAGAATACCATGAACAGTTTTGTCCGACATAAGGGGTGAAAAAAGAAAAAAGTACTAACAGAGATTGTCACTTTGGGAGTAAGGAGCAATCGACAAGATAGACACTTGGAAGTGGCAGTGCTGCATCATACATTGTGTATGGGTACCGCGCATATGTGCCTCTACTCAATTTTGTACGATAAACTAATCCGTCTGCCGCCAACACCAACACTGCGAACTTGGTTGTGTATATCCCCTTTAAGTCTATCCCAGCATGACGATACAAGGGGCATTTAAGGAGGTCAACAAAATCAGAAACGAAAGCGACGATGGAGAGAGCAGCGATGAAAAAAGCGGAATCGATGACGCCAAGTCGTCCGTATTTGTCAAGTCGAACAAAATTCCCGATAACACAGATGTGGTGAAAGGAATTAATTTCGAAAAAGAAGTGAATTTGCACGAATTTGTAAATCAGTACAAATACATGGGGTTTCAGGCCACCAACTTGGGCATAGGGATTGATGAGATGAACAAAATGATTCATTTTAAGTATGCAGAGGGGGTAGAAGGGGCAGGAGAGACGCATGATGACCAGGATCGGGACAGCGATGGTGACCATCAAGCACTACCAAAAAAAAAAAAATGTCTAATCTGGCTATCCTTCACCTCAAACATGATCTCTAGCGGCCTGCGTGAAATATTCGTGTACCTCGCAAAGAAGAAATTCATAGACGTGGTTGTGACCACGGCTGGGGGAGTGGAGGAAGACATTATCAAGTGCTTCTCCAAAACGTACCTGGGCGATTTTAATCTCAACGGGAAAAAATTAAGGAAAAAGGGGTGGAACAGAATAGGGAACTTAATCGTCCCCAATGATAACTACTGCAAATTTGAGGACTGGCTTCAGCCCCTACTAAATAAGATGTTGCACGAACAGAACAGAAAAAATGAAGAGCTCTTTTTAAAGAAGTTGGACAAGCGAAGGGGACGAAGAGAACGCGAAGGAAAGAAGGCCCCGTCATCCCACTGTGCACCATCGTCATGTATACCATCGTCGCCTTCACAATCGCCGCCTTCCCCATCACAACCGTCCAACCCCCCTTGTGACAGCTCCGATGAGGACGAATCTGACATGTTCTACTTGAGCCCCTCCGAGTTCATAAAGAAGCTGGGGGAGGAAATAAATGATGAAAGTTCCCTGATATATTGGTGCCATAAAAATGACATCCCCGTATTTTGTCCTGGGTTAACAGATGGGTCCCTGGGGGATAATTTATTTTTTCACAACTATGGGAAAAAAATAAAAAATAATCTGATTTTAGACATTGTTAAGGATATCAAGAAGATTAACTCTTTGGCGCTAAATTGTAAGAAGTCTGGAATTATCATTTTGGGGGGGGGCCTACCGAAACATCACGTCTGTAACGCCAATTTGATGAGAAACGGAGCCGATTTTGCAGTGTATGTAAACACAGCTAATGAGTACGACGGCAGTGATAGTGGCGCAAATACTACGGAAGCTTTATCCTGGGGGAAGATTAAGGCGGGTCACACGAACAACCACGTTAAAGTTTTTGGCGACGCCACGATTTTGTTTCCGCTGATGGTTCTCAACACGTTCTATTTCCACGATCGACGGGGGAAGCAGCAAGAGGGGGTGGCGCAGCTCGGCTGAGGCGGAAACTCGTATGGGTACACAAGGGTGCAGAACATGTATGTGAGGGGAAAAAATTGCAAAATGGGAAAATAAAAAGTTATGTTAAAAAAAGGGGGCCAACCGAGCTGCAACTTTGCATTCCGCAGTTCTAGCGAAATTTAAAGGGGCTAATGAAATAGCGCAGCGTCGTAGGGTTGCCTCACACGGTTAAGCAGTTTTTCTGCTTCCCGTTTTTCCTTTTTTTTGTGCGCACCGTTGCTTTCCCCCTTTTAAACCCCACCTAGGGCTTGTCGACACATCCCTGTTGCATATATGATTTGTATTAAACTGCTTATTCTTGTAAGTTTTCCTTAATTAAAGCACAAATTTGTGGTCATATAAAAATGTATTTAAAAAAAAAAGGTGCGTGAATCGAGGCCTGGTGTGCATATATATTCATACACTAGTTACGGAGTGACAAATAGAATTTGCTTCTTAGGTATGCCTATTTTTGCGTGCACTCCTCTTCCTCCCAAGGCTGGCGTGTGAATGGGTGAGTCATTAAATGGGTGAATCGGTTAATGGGTAAATGTGCCAATGGGTGAATATTTGCATGCGTGTCCTGCTGAAGTATGCTGGGGCGGGCGCCCTCGAGAAAGGATGACCCTCTACACATGGGCGGCATGAGCATATATAATTTTACGAGCACATGAGCACACACCCCTGCCCATCTACGCGCAAGAAAATAAAAAATAACAAACTTATTTTTAAAAAAATGGAATGTGCTAAAACAAATGCACTTTAGAGCATAACCAAAAATTTAATCTTTAAACAAATACGTTTAAAAAATGAAAATAAAGATCATAATATTATTTGGGCAATGTCAAACTAAATAGGATTCAAATGGAGAGTTGGCACAGCAAAGGACAGGGGGGGGGTTGCCTGTATGCATGGACGGAGGTTTTTACACTCTCCTGGGTGTGTTGGGGGGGCGAGCGGGCAACATAAAACATATAGAACCAAGATGGCACTGTGAAAAAGAAAATGGATGTGTAGGGCGCAGCTCCATAAACGCATATCATATAAATATATAAAATAAACTTAACGTGTCTCAAATTGAGGGAATAAATTAAGCGCTTTGATCCCCGCAGCCAATGTGCCGTGTCCAGACATTTTTCCAGATGAGCAAGAGGTGCGCTCTTTAAAAATGCGTGACATAAAAACTTTGATCTGGTAAGGAGCCTATGATACATTAATTGCTGCTATTCGTGGGGAGAACGTTTGTCACTGTCTAATTATGCTGCGCTGGGGTGTTCCTGATTACACGTGGGGATATATTATGTCCCTTTTTGATGTGCCCATTTGGTGCACCTATTTGAGGGGGCCCACTTGGTGGCCCACTTGGCATGCCGGCACCCGCGCCCTAACACAGATGATGCTTTTCCCTTGCTCGCTTAAAAGCACTTCCTGTGAACAATGCTAGGCCCAGCGTCCTCGTACTCCTCCTTGGTTATCCACATCTGCTGAAAGGTGGACAATGACGACAGAATGGACCCTCCTATCCAAACGGAATACTTCCTCTCAGGTGGTGCAATAACTTTAATTTTCATGGAAGACGGAGCTAAATTGGTCATTTCTTTCGTCAACCTTTCGCCAATATTGTTATACATTGTAGTGCCACCACTTAGAACAATATTATTGTACAGTTCTTTTCTGATGTCAATGTCACATTTCATTATACTTTGGTAAGCTGTGATATGTAGTCCAGGGCATTCTCTCCCTATTAACGTTGGATTAAATAAAGCTTCTGGGCATCGGAACCTTTCGCTACCTACGGTTATTAAATTTCCATCGGGCAATTCATATATTTCTTCTATCTGGTCGGAATGTTCCTCTGATTTTTTTAATTCCTCATCGTAATCCAGTGCAATGTAACATAGTTTTTCCTTTATGTCGCGAACGATTTCTCTCTCTGCCGTTGTTGTGAACGTGTGTCCCCTTTCTGTGAACAGCTTCATCATGTGGTAGGTCAAATCTCGCCCCGCCATGTCGATTCTGTTGATTGCGTGCGGAAGAACATAGCCCTCGTAGATTGGAACGGTGTGGCTCACTCCGTCGCCGCTGTCCAGCACGATTCCTGTGATGTTGAGCGGTGATGAGCAATGTTAAACGGTGATAAGGGGTGTTAAGAGGTGATGGGCGCTGTTAACCGGGGTTGAAGGGGTCATAAATGGGGGAGACACATGCACAATCCCCTGAAACCCTGCTACGGCCACGCCTTACCCGTTGTCCTCCCAGAAGCGTACAAGGATAAAATTGCCTGAATGCTGACATACATAGCCGGTACGTCAAAAGACTCAAACATAATTTGCGTCATGCGCTCTCTATTCGTCTTCGGGTTCAAAGGTGCCTCTGTGAGCAGGACTGGATGCTCTTCAGGAGAAACTCGTAACTCGTTATAAAATGTATGGTGCCAAATTTTTTCCATGTCGTCCCAGTTTGTCACTATTCCATGTTCAATTGGATACTTTAGGGTTAGTATTCCCCTCTTGTTTTGTGCTTCATCTCCTACGTAGCATTCTTTCTGTTCCATGCCTACCATTATGTTTGGCATTTTGGGCCTTCCAACAATTGATGGAAATACACACTTAGGTGCATCGTCCCCTGCCAATCCGGACTTCACCATTCCACTTCCATTGTCGACTACTAGGGCTACGGATTCTTCTGACATCTGCCAAAGAGGGAAGTTATCGGAAGGGGTTGGAGAGACGAGTATTCGGCGTAGAGGCTGGGGGTCCACCTACGGGCACCTTTGTATGTGCATCTACAGGCCCATCTGTAGGTTCACATAATAGGCCTTCTTCCCACTCCCCGTCATAAGCTGCACCACGTTCTCCACTGCGGCAACGATGTAGAAGCAATTTACCCACTGGGCGCATACGCAGAGGGGAAAGAAGAAAGTTTTGCTTTTATATGCCTTACTGTTTTGAGTTTACTCTGGGGCGAAATTGTCTAAGCTCTTGCGGGTTGTTCTTCTATGAAGTATGATTGCCTGGAAATGTAGAATATGGAAGTGAGCTAAATTGGGATGGCTTTCCATATGTGCAGGTTTTTGCTCATCTGACAGTGCATCGCGCGGGTGTACAAGCATACTGCTTTATAAGCATACGCCCTTTTTTAAGCATACACCGCCGTGTTTATATGCCCCTATGCATGCACGTGCCTACACACACAAGTACCTCTGTATACATATGCTATAACACCTCTAGGCATGTCCACCTTTTGCATATGCATATTAAAACTAGAAAATGATTTTCAAATTTTATTTATCATTTTTCACTGGCTCTTTTTGCATGAATATGATTTTTTTCTTTTTTCTCTATCCTCCCACCGTTTTACTTTTTTATTCTTATGTACTTTCTTTCGGCTACCTATTGCAAAAATTGGGGGAATGTCACTCAGTACAGTTGTTATGTATATTTCTACGTTTGTGTTTGTGCTTCTTTTGTTTTTTTTTTTTTTGTTAAATTGTTCAGGCGAAAGAATCACACTGATGCAGCTAAATCGCAAGTATTTGCGGCATGTATGGAAGCGCACATGTACACTAGGCAGAACGCGTGTACGTGGGCAGCAGGGGTGTAGGTATGCATGTAGAAACGCCCCCTTATGTGTTATGTATGTATTATTTTCGTATGCATATATTTTCTGCAGTCCACTCATTTCAGCTCACACAGTTTGTTAAAACCGCTTCCCCCAGGAGGTGAATAATAGTTTTAAGTACCAAAAGCCGTTATAGAACCCCCAAATGTGAATTTTTAAAAAGCTTAACAGAGAAGAAGCTGATTCTTATTTTCTCAAAGTGGGAATATCTCCTTACACGTTGAGATAAGTAAAATGTGTGTTTTTTTTTTTTTTTAAACACTCGCGACATCGTGTATGTATTGGATGAAGCGATGTAGGTGCACTGTTTTTTTTTTTTTTTTCATAAATGTGAAAGGGGAATAATAAAAAGATGACTGTTCAATAGCGTGACCAAATTTACAGACGCTGTAGGGGCAGTATTGAAGAGTCGCTTCTTGAGAATGGATCAGGTAAGGGAAAAATGCGTTAGGGGGGAAAATTAGCGGGAATGTGCCGCTATCGCATATGTACGTAAAAAAATGGTGATAGGAGTAATGTAACCTTTTTCACCCGTAGATCATACTACGCACATGTGAGAAGGGACACCAAAGGGTCATTTCGGAAAAAAAGGGGAAACGCACTCAAATATTATATGGACACGCACCAACTGCTGCAGTAGCATGTTACTTTCGAAGAAACTGAGAGTCAGAAATCATGTTTGTAGGGAAAAATTTTATGGTGTGAAAATGTTTAAATGGAGTTTTTGTGAAATTGTCCCCGTGGTGTATATAGAATATTCCATATTGCTTAAAGCTGCGGAAGACAAATTAAAAGTGTCCCCATTAAATGGTAATCTATTTTTTTTTTCCCAAAAGGGTTAGTGATTTTGTTAGTGCGCAAATGGGTAAAAGGTATGAGCATAAGAGCGTACGTACGTGATAACCCCCCTATATGTCAGTTTTACTGCTATTTCACAGGTGTACATAAAAGATGAGCGTTTTTAGGCAGAGCACCTTCCGTCCCGTTAGCACCGAATTGGCATATCTCCACGTAGATGTTGCCCCTAAGTATATTTAGGTATGCGTGCATGCACGGGTTATACAGACAAATGCGTCGACGCGAAAACGTCACGCACGTGCTATATGGGGATAATCCACATTTTGCACCTCTTCCTGTTACGCCGTGTTACGCTGTGTTATGCGGTGTTATGTACTTTGACTTTCCTCCCTTTTCCGATGTTTAAAAAAAAACACCATAGTGTTACCACGCCCAGCGCGAAACACTTTCCATTGGTGTACCCTTATACATAAGGATGCCTCTTCTGCTTCGTTTCCCCCACAGACCAAACATGGTGAAAACCGTTCGGACAATTCCATTCTGCATGAGGTTGTTCCCTTTCACCATTTTGTGAATTCTACTTGCTTAATTAAAAAAGAAAAAAAGATTTTAAAATTTTTGTTTTTATTCCATTTTTAAGATGTTCACTGTGTAGCAGTTCAACAGTTAGCAAACAAACACTGCATAATTCACTCTTTCATTTTTTGCTGTCACATTTTGGAGCTTTTATATCACATGCGAAATGTGAACAATTGAAACGTCTCCTTTCAATAAGAGGTTTGGGCTCCCTTAAAAGATCAAAAAAAAAAAAAAATGAACATCACAACGAGCTTCATATGTGGGTAAAATATGTTCCATTCTTAGGTTCCACGAAAAATAGCATTTTTTTGAGAGGCTCCTCGCACACCCATTTTTAATCCAACAAAATAGTGACAAAAAACTGGGGGAAATTATTGGAAGATGAAATGTTTCATAAGCCCATGTTTCCCCTTGGGGGGATGTTTGGAAGGGCTTCTCACACGGAAGGCACTGCACAATTGTACACAATTTGTTTGTCTGTTTCTTCGTTTGATTGATCTATATTGGTATGCTGCAACTTTTGGAGGGGTTAATTGCCTCATCGTTTATGCTCGGCTTATTCCGCATCCCGACTGACCCTTTCAACGAGCTAAATGTGAGACCCATCTAATTTGCTCTTAATATTGCCACAGTGAGGTGTAACAACTCTCGCCAGTAAAATAATTCAGGCAATTCCATTTTCCTCAAGTGCACAAAGGTACATAAGCAGAACTGCGCTTCGGTTTAGCCTAGCACGTAATGCACAGCATATTTTATGGTAAAAATGGGTTTGAGATTTCTAATAAAGTGCCAAGGGAAAGTAAAAAAAAGAAAAAAAAAAAGATAGCGAGATTTTTTTTTTTTTTTTTTAATCC